AGACAGCCTATGTGTTTTCATTTGAATCTTTACTTAAAACTTTTTATTTAAATATGTGTTTTGTTTTTCATGCGCTTCGCGTGTACATTTGCACAATAAGCATTCTTAGAAGTTATTATAATGATAATAGTTATAACATTACTAACAAAAATTATAATGAGATAAAATTCCTTTTATACAGTTACAATAAAATTCATTATGTTATTGGCCCTTGTTCAATCTTTCTGGAACCATAGGATCTCTATATGTATATGTTAAGTATATATATATGTATATATATATAATTAAATATATTTTATGTATAGGCATGAATGTATATAATGCTTCATAATAATTCCAAAAAGTGTTTTAAAAACTATCAATAAACTTTTCAATGACGCTTATAAGAAACTTTCATATTCACCCACATTATTGTGTTTGTGTTTGTTTTACCACTTGCTAAAATTTAATAGTACATCGAGATTTCGAATAAGTTACAACATACATACGATGCACACAAGATGAGGGATCATCTAGCATGTGCATACATAGGTATCCTATATGGTATTTACTGCATACGTACTGTTTATATGTTTCTTCTTCACTTTCAGTTTCTCCCCCGTCGGCCCTGCACTAGATTGCACCCAATGGATTGTTACAGATTATTGTATAAGTGTAATTTGATCTACCAGTGTGTGTGTGTGTGTGTGTGTGTTTAGCTTCAATTTCGTTTACTATATGGTCTAATCGTACGCCGCATCGACCCAATGTGAATAAATTTGACTAAAATCAACAAACGTTGAATTGGGAACGGATATGATATACCTACCGACAATGAATGTGTCTGTACTGTCTTCGTACTTTGTTTTTTAACCTTTAGTTTTTCTTTCAAATTAGTTACAACTACAAATTTCAACTGTATGCATATGTGAACGTATTTTCTATAGTTTCCATTAGCTAACTTCAACTCCAACTGCAAATGTGTAGGATCTCTGCACTTCATAACTCTTCTTGAACTTCGTCTCTGATACGATACCGACTCGGTAAAAGAATATGTAAGAGACAATAAATATATATGGGGTGTGTGTGTGTGGGCAATATCTATTCTTCATCCGAGTCTCCCTCGCTGGAGTAATGTGTTATTTGTGGGCGACGAACAAACGGCGCAGTTATCACTTGTCTGCGTGGGGGGAGGGGCGAGTAAAAACACACAAATCAGCATGATTACATTGGCCATCAATCGAGACATACTTACGCAATGCGTCTGTAATGATTCAGCCATTCCTCCAGCATTTGTGCCACCAGAAGGGGACGTTTGCCCAGTTTTTGTTGCGCCACAAGCAGACCGCCATCAGTTACGCAAACATCCAGCCATTGGCGCATCATTGACTCCTCATTGCCCACCTGTCAAAGAAATTAACGAATCAGTTTCTTCTTTACAGATCTTTCAGTTGCATTCTCACCTCCGACTGTGTGAGAAAATGTATGGGCAAGAGCTTGAGCTCGCAGTCCATCAGTGGCAGGTAAGTGACGTCCTCAACATCGTCGCGTCGCCCATCGATGCGTGTGAACGGCTCCATGGGCACCAAGGCGCTGAAGTGACCGCGTGTATAGCCCAGAGCGATGGGTGATTTGGTGCAAAAGTTTTGATCCCAGAACAAAGGCAAGTAGACACCTGAAATGCAGGGAGTTCCGGCTAGAAAAATTAAATTCATATACATATAATGTTTGCTCACCTTCGAAACGCGCATATCCAATGTCTTCACCACGAAAACTCTTCACGTACTTAACGCCATAAACAATAATTGGACGTCTAAGGATGTGCGCCAGCGCAAAAATGTGCAACTGTTCCAGAGATGAGCCTGGTTGGCTAGCCAGCGAAAGCAGTGTGCTCCAATCATCCTCCCACTGCGATTCCTCCAGAGTAAAGTGCAGCATGGAGGCCTGCAACATTTCGTACTCCTTCCAGCGCGTGAAGAACCTGAAAACACACGCTCAAGGGTGAGCGAAAGCCTGCTTCTCCACTCCCATTACACTTCACTTACACATGTCCACACTGATGCAGTGTGTCGGCCAGCGTACGTCTAAGGATATTGTCGCGATCGAAGACTCCCCATGTGGCCTGCATGGCCGAGTCCAAGAGGCAATCGCCAGCACTGCGGTTCCACAAGACAAACATCCGCGAGCTGAGACGTGCCGTTATCTCCAGCGACCAGTTGAGAGCCGGCGGCGGCGTCTCTAACTGCTTCTGCGCATCTCTGTCCAGGAGCTCATCGTACAGCTGCTCCTGTATGGGAATGGGCAATTCCTCAATCTCGGCGGGGAGGGCAAAGGTGGCATGCTTTTGCACATAGTGGCAGGGAAGGCCAGACTTGCGCAAACGGAGCGTATTGGCAAAGTGTCGGCGAATGTCCGCGGCCAGATCCGGCGCCACATAGGAGGGCACACGCTTTATTCCTGGCCCCGAACCAGAGATCTGAGCCAGCAGCATGGGCAGCATTTCCTCGCGATGGAAACGTATGGCCAGGTGGATCAGTGTATGACCCACATCAAAGGCCGAGTTGCGATTCAAGGCGGCTATCTCGTTGCTGGTCAGTGAGCGGGCCGGATTGCCGCCACATGACAGATACGCTTCCACAGCGCTGTAGTTATTCTCGACGACGCCCAAGCAGGCATTCAGCCATTGCCAGTCCACTTGTCGCCTGATTTGACGCTGCCGCCGTTCCTGCCGCTCTTGCAGCGTATCACAGTTGTTGATGGTTTCCGAGGAACCTGCAAGAGAACGTTTAGTAAATTTAAGGTGTGCTCTATCTGTTGCTGTATCCCTTACCCAGTTGGTAAATGTGCTTTTTATTGAATGAGTTATTGACGCTGACGGTGTCTACGTTCTGATGCTCGTCCTGGATGGTCTGGCTGGAGGAGGCATGCAAGTCGTTTTGTGATCCGCTTATCTCACGCTCCCGTGTCTTGCCGCACATGGAGCATTTGATGCTCCTGGGCCAGTTCTCGTAGGTGCACGACTGCAAGAGGATTGCAAATTAGTTGGATACTTATTAAATACAGGTTCTGAGGACAACCCACATTGCACGCCCACTTGGCCACATAGCAATGCTTCGGCTGCAGCGGGACAGCAACAGCCACAGAAGAGTCCCGCTGCTGTTGCTGCTGGTGCTGTTGATGTTGTTGTTGATTGGCAGGCCTTTTATTCGGCGACTGGTTGTGTGATGCATTGGCGAGATTGTTCAGATACGTGGCATCGTCGATGGTCGGACTGGGACTGAGACTGAGGCGATTGGAGGCAGTGGCTCCTATTAACTGTTGCTTCTGTTGTTGTCTCGCGGCCGTGTCTTTAGTGGATACGAGTTCCGTATCCGAGCCGCTGATGCGCAGTGCGTGTAGTGCCTCTCCAGCTCGATCGATGCAATCAGCATCCGCCTCATTGTCATTATCATTTCTGCTTTCCATGGCCTCGCCGCCGCGTTTGGTACAGCATTGCACGCAGCGCACACTACGTGGCCAATTGAGATAGGTGCACACCTTGCATTCCCACTTCTCGCTGTCGACAACATTGCTCTGCCGCAACTGGGGCTGCTGCGATTGCTGCGACTGCAGCGTGTAGCACGTGGAGGTCGGTGTTGGCGTTGGCTCGACAGCAGCCAGCCCAGACGCTGCCTCCTCTGGGATGGAGCTGCTCTCCTGCGCTGGACTGAGCCTATAAGAGGGAGGAGAGTACATAAGTAATTGGTTCAAGGTAGGGGTGGTGTCAAGGCCATACCGAAAGATATCCTCGCTCAGCAGCGCCTTCGAGGCCTGGCACATGGTGCATTTCAGTGACGATGGGTAATTTTCGTAGGTGCAGATTTCACATTTCCATTTCTGTGCCTCGTCTTTGGTATCGCACATTGTTTTGTGCGCGGAAACAGCCACAGCGACGCAGCAGTTGCTCCGGACAGTTATGTGCTTGGTACGCGCGCTCCTTCTCCCCTAGCCCTTTGTCCCCGTTCCGTGGCAATCGTTCTAAATTCGCGATAGAGAGGAGAGCAGAGGAGAGGCAATTAAATAATTTCACTTGTTTAATAAGGTCAAACAACGCAAATGGCAAGCAAAACGCTACAAAATGTCCTTGACCCTGAGACATATTCCGCGGATACCGAGATACTGAGATACAGAGACACATTTATACATATTCATTCGTATGCATTTTTTGTTGGCCCGAGATGTTTATATTTCTTTCTTACTTTCGTCACAGATAGCCTTCAGGGGGCCTGGGAATGGGTTGCTTGCACTTATTTGTTGCTATTTGTATGTACTCGTACATGTACATCCGTATGTACATACATATGCATCTATATTTGATAGGGGAGGGAGGGCACGAGGGGCTGGTGGTGCACTGTTTTTCCGCGCTACTTTCTGATTGGATTAATTTTCGTATCGTATCAGTACCTGGCGCAAAACTATGCAAGGAAGGGAAGGCCTTATGTAGAAATCCAAGACATCGACTGCTGCATCGACTGCTGGCTGCACTGCAATTCGAATTAACTTTATTGAGAGAGTGACGAAAGAAAACTGTTGTCAGCCACGAGCTGCTGTTCGCCCGCGCCTCTGAATATAGCGTGAATATATTGACTCAATATTGGCAGTGGCAGTAGCAGTAGCGCGGGGCAAGTGTAATTGTGGGTGGGAGAATTACACTTACAATTACAAAACAAAGATGAAAAAACTTTCACTCGATTTTTTGGGGCCAAAATATGACTTTGATCGACATACACAATAACACACCACGCACACACTGTCGACGTTTGTCCGATGGGCAGGTGCAAGCCGTAGTACAAGGAACTTGGAATTTGGATTATTTGGAAATTTGCTAATTATTTATTTTTTTATTTATCGTCACATTGCGAGGGCTGGCGTGATTTCAATCATCTGTTTGTCACCTATCGATACTACCGTTCGCGTCTATCGATGGACATTCCATCCCTCGCTGACAGGGTTGCCAAGCGCGTCGCATAGTTGATAACGCGGCAGCTGTACCCCCCAAACTATTTCGTGCGATCTAAACAAAATCACTAACTAAATGGTTAAAAGGTCGAATACCTATACATTTTGGCACCCAATGCGGTAGCAGGAACAAGCTCAAGTCGCGTTTTGCTCAAACCACGCAGCGGGAGTCATCCACGGCACAATGGCAGCCACCACGACTTCAATGCCTCGCCTTCGAAGATGCGTAGTTAAAATACAGCGCATTAAGCCCCACGAAAATGCAATACTAACGGGCCAAGAGCCAATTTCTAGCCAAAATACTATCCCATCCCCTACCAATCCACCCGAGGCGCGCGCTGGAGCATGCGACACAAGTGTCTTTCAGCCAGATCGCAACTCCACGATGTGCGTATCCAGAACACAGATTAACGTCACGGGCGCGAATTTACCAAGTATGTTTTGTTTGTACGATTTATGCCCATCACAAGTGATTATCCGTAACATTTTTCAGACGCAACTATATCACCATTTCGCATTCGCATCAAGAAATTGCCTGTGCCCAAGCCAGTGGAGACGGCCACACCAGTGCAGCCTACAACTGTATCCCCAGTTCAAGTGCGCCTCAAGAGAATCCGCTTGGCTAAGCCGGCAGAGACAGCGGCTTCCGCACCGCCTACAACTACAACACCAGTACGTGTTCGCATCAAACGAATCCCCCTGGCTAAGCCAGCAGAGACAGCGACATCCGCGCAAAGTACAACAACGCAGGCTGAGCGAGGGCATCGGTTCTTCCACAGAGATCAGCCACCGACGAGATCAAGGTCTTCCGTCACGCGCAACGTCTATGAGTTTCTCTCCCAGTCTCAGATTGAAGATGACAAGAATCGCGAAGATCCTGCTGCTGATATAATCAAAAAGATGGTAAGCGCCGGCAAGGCGTGCGTAATGATTCGCTCCAAAAAGGATGGCAGACAACGCGCCAAGCCCGTGAAGAAGGTTCGACCAGTGGGTAAACGAAGACAGTGCTCTCTGAAAAACTTGGAATCTTCAAAGTCCAAAGAGGGCACGCCAGAGAAACGGATTCCTCTGGCGCCCGCGGCCGCGGCCCTGTCGCCGATTCTCGAGCCCGACAATGATGTCATCGGTAGCAGTGATTCTGAAGCACCCAACGCTGGACCTTTTCAAGTATCAGTGAGTGTGCATAGCCCTCCGCAGGCACGCTTTTCTGTCCAGCGGAATGCATCGACACACCACCCTAACACACCACCCTTACACGACGGCGCCTACAGCCATTTGGCCCGTTCCGTATTGCTCAATGAAACTAAGACACATTATCCGACAAACTCGATAGAGAGACGCCGCCAACTGGTGAACATGGCGCGTAAATTTGTGAGCACACCGCTCAGACGTAAGAGCCCAAGTAGCAATGTCACGGCATCGGCAATTTCCCCGATTCCACGACAGACTGTGGTGGCCAGTCCTTCAGGTGGTGCCTCTCCCTGGCGAGTATCTGACGAATCAGCCATGCCGAATACATTTGTATTCGGCTTCAACACATCACAGTTGCCATCGTATTCCAGCGATCACATTCAACGTCGCCAGCATGTCTATGTACCAGACGAAGCAGCAGCTGCAGGACCAGTGGGGGATCCACCCAACGAAGAGTCAATTTGTCCGGCCTTGGACGAGCAAAGTCTGGGATCGAATGCGAACGATTCAAACGAGGAAAATCTGCCACCAACTGTTGCGCATAAAACCCCGACAACAGCCAATGATCAGGAAGATGCGGAGAACGTTGAAAACGTTGTACATTTGCCAAACCCAAGGCGGACGCTGCAGGAACGTGCTCCTCTGAAAGACATCAATGTATTGGATGTGGTTGTACTGCCATCGTGGAAGAAGAATATCCAAACAACACCCATAACGCCCACGAAAGCCACTACACCAGCAATGACGAGTTCTCCAGCTAATCAGTTTTTCGGGTTCGATGAGTTCTTGGAGGAGGAAAATAGCCCCAAACGCCGCAGAACAGAACGGAACACGACTGTCCACACACCTAGTAAATCCGGCAATCTGTTCGGCTTTGAAGAATTCCTCGAAGGGGATGAAGCTGCCGAGTCTAGGGGCTCTACTTCCGCCCCTCAAAATGTGACGCTGCACGAGAAACTGCAGCGACTTAAGCAGCTACGACCTACGGAAAAAGAGCTGCCGCAGGTTTCCACCGCTCCGCTGCGCCGTGCAGGCGATTGTTTTGGTGAGCTGCAACCACAACAGCGTGACATTCGGGATGTGCTGTGCTCCACCATGTTGTCGGAAACGACGAAACGGCAACCTGCACTGGCTGCAGACGAGTCGGCTGGATTGTTCAAAGATTCAGAGCCCGATCTGGAGACAACATTTGACGCAAAGGTAAGATCTAGAAAGCCTATTAGCATAGAAAGATAAGCGCCCAGACTCGTCGACGTTGCGCACAGTATACAACGTCGTGACCAATGGTTGGCGCTAGATAAAACCAAACTGAAACGCTTTATTAGTTCCAGTTGAGCCAACAGGGCCGCAAAGACTCAAGTTTATCTTTGATCGGTAGTAAGCAGCTCGCACAGAATTACTAACATCTCTGGCACATTTATTTATTTCTAATAAACGAAATTAAACGAACTATTTTGCAGGCCCACAGACGCACTTATGTGAAGGAGAAACCCAAGCGCAAGCGGAAGCAACGCGTCCAAGTGCTGTATATAGACAGTGGATCGTCCGAAGACGAGGACGGGGAGAACGAGCCGGACTCGCGTGATAACAGCGTCGAATCTCCAAAGAAAAGAGGTCCAGGACCGCGACAAAAACGACCCCGAAAGGATGTCGAGCACGAGGCAAAACTGCAGGAATTCATCACCAGCTTCAACAAGGAATGCGAGGAGGTGCAGAATTATTCACTGGTCATTGAATAGCCCATACCTTAAGGATTATGGTAGCTTATTGGTTTTTTTTTTTTTCACCCTTCCATCGAAGGAACTTTAAATTTAAGAAAAGGATCAGAGTGTATCATTGTTTTTCCCCCCCTTCCATCGAAGGAACTTTAAATTTATGAAAAGGATTATGGTGTATCATTGTTTTTTTCCCCCCCTTCCATCGAAGGAACTTTAACTTTAAGAAAAGGATCATGGTGTATCATTGTTTTTTCCCCCCCTTTCATCGAAGGAACTTTAACTTTAAGAAAAGGATCATGGTGTATCATTGTTTTTTCCCCCCCTTCCATCGAAGGAACTTTAACTTTAAGTTAAGGAAATTTAGTAAGAGAATTCGAATTAATCTCGCCAACAATATCTGTAATACGTATACGATTACACATTCTGATAGAGTGCATTTATTATTTTACTATCCATTCCATGTAAATAGCTCGTCTATATTCTGACCAATCTACAAGTGTAAGAAAACGTGTTCGATTTGAAACTTTCGTCTTGCAAAAATATAAAACTGAAATAATTTCACAAAAAGGTTACAATGAAGAAACCCCACACAAAAGCTTGATGTTTTTCTTTTAAACAGTAAAATAAATATTTTATTTGAGACTTTAAACTAACTTAGACATTTACAATTTGTTGCTAACGTAAAACTAACAATTTATTCGCCAATACTAGGAATGATTAGGTGGGAAAACAACCAAAAATTCTTGTCAGTCTTCAAAACTTAAAATGAACTTCAAATAAATCCATCAATGTAAATATCTCTATGGCTTCGGCTCCTTACAAGTGTCCCTTAGTCGACCTCCTCGACAGTGGGCCCAGAAAAGCCTCCAAATCCGCCGGCCTGCTGGCCACAGTTGGCTCCTGCCGCAGGACCTGCCGCAGCGCCCTGCTGATGAATCTTGGTCATTATCGGGGAACAGTGCTTGGTGAGCTCCTCCATCTTGTGGTCGAACTCCTCCTTCTCGGCGGTGGTGTTCATGTCCAGCCACTTAATGGTCTCGTTGCACTTCTCCAGAACGGAAGCCTTATCGGCCTCGCTCAGTTTATCGGATCCGGCCTGTTCCACGGCCTGCTTGACGTTGAAGACGTAACCCTCCAGGCTGTTGCGCGAGGATACGCGCTGGCGCTGCTTCTCATCCTCGTCGGAGTAGCGCTCTGCCTCGTTCACCATGCGGTCGATATCAGCTTGGGATAGGCGGCCCTTGTCGTTCTGTATGGTAATGTTCTTGGCCTTGCCCGTGCTCATTTCCTTGGCAGTGACGTTGAGGATGCCGTTGGCGTCCAGGTCGAAAGTGACTTCGATCTGAGGCACGCCTCGCGGCGCTGGAGGAATTCCCGACAGTTCGAAGGTGCCCAGGGCGTTGTTGTCTTTGGTCATTGCGCGCTCGCCCTCGAACACCTGGATGGACACTCCGGGCTGGTTGTCGGCGTACGTCGAGAAGGTCTTGGTCTGCTTTGAGGGAATGCGGCAGTTGCGCTCGATCAGCTTTGTCATCACTCCGCCAGCAGTCTCTATGCCGAGGGAGAGCGGCGCCACATCCACCAGCAACACGTCCTGGATCTTGCCGCTTTGGTCGCCACTGAGGATCGCGGCCTGGACAGCAGCGCCGTAGGCCACCGCCTCGTCTGGATTGATGGACAGGTTGAGGCTCTTGCCGTTGAAGAACTGTTGGAGGAGGCTCTGCACCTTAGGGATGCGCGTGGAGCCGCCTACGAGCACAATGTCATGGATCTGGCTCTTGTCCATCTTGGCGTCGGTGAGGGCCTTCTCCACCGGCTGCAATGTGTTCCTGAAGAGGTCGGCGCACAGTTCCTCGAAACGTGCGCGGCTCATCTTGGTGTAGTAGTCGTGGCCCTCGAACAGAGCGTCTATCTCAATGGTCGCCTCCGTGCTGGAGGAGAGGGTGCGCTTGGCCCGCTCGGCCGCCGTTCGGAGGCGTCGCAGAGCACGAGGGTTGGAGCGCAGATCCTTCTTGAATTTACGCTTGAACTCGTCTGCGAGGTGTGTGACCAGTCGGTTGTCAAAGTCCTCGCCGCCCAGGTGGGTGTCTCCGGCAGTGGCCCGCACCTCAAACAGGGATCCCTCGTCGATGGTCAGGATGGAAACGTCGAAGGTTCCGCCGCCCAGGTCGAAGATGAGCACGTTGCGCTCACCCTTCAGATTCTTGTCCAGCCCATAGGCCAGCGCGGCCGCCGTCGGCTCATTGACGATTCTGAGCACATTGAGGCCTGCAATGCGGCCAGCATCCTTCGTGGCCTGGCGCTGTGAGTCGTTGAAGTAGGCAGGCACTGTGATGACTGCGTCTGTGATGGTCTGGCCCAGATAAGCCTCGGCCGTCTCCTTCATTTTGACCAGCACCATCGAGCTGATCTCCTCCGGGGAAAAGCGCTTCGCTTCGCCCTTGAACTCAACACCAATCTTTGGCTTGCCTCCATCGCTTACCACCTTGAACGGCCAGTGCTTGATGTCCTCCGCAATCTTGGGATCGTCGTACCTGCGCCCAATCAGGCGCTTCGCATCGAACACTGTGTTCTTCGGGTTCATCGCCACCTGGTTCTTGGCGGCGTCGCCAATCAGGCGCTCCGACTCTGTGAATCCCACATAGCTGGGCGTCGTCCGGTTTCCCTGGTCGTTGGCGATGATCTCCACCTTTCCGTGCTGGTAGACACCCACGCAGGAGTACGTGGTGCCCAAGTCGATGCCAATAGCCGGCATTCTGTTTCTGTTTATGGTTTCTGGCTGTGTTTAAGATGCACTGGAACGTGTATTAATTGCTGCTTTTACTGTCGCAGGTAGTTTGTTCTTCTCAATGCGTATGGTTTCTTCTTTTGTTCAATTTGAGTTTTTTATAAATGGTTTACTTTGCTTTTTGCAGTTGTTTTGGCTTCTGGTAGCTCGCTTTGTTTCACTTTTGAGATGTGTTCTCTTCGCTTGTTTGAATTGAATTGCTGCGAAGAGAAACTGGCGGCTGTATTTATACCTGGCCGCTCTCCGTTCGAAACTTCGAGAGCTCTCTTCTAGAAATATCTTGAATGTTAGCCTGAATCGCGTGCGTCAGAGCGAGACGACGAGTCTTGGCAGCTGTCAGAGGCCGCAGAGAGAGCGCAAACAGCTTGTACTCGTGAGAGAGGGTCGACGAAATTTCTCGACTTTTCCTCTGGCCAAAGTATCTGTGAGGTTCGAGTATCTGACCTACCGCAACAAGCGGCTTGTTTTGGGAATCTAGAAAATTCGGATGATTTCCGGAAGTTTTTATGTCCATATGTACAAACATATGTACATATGTATGTACATTTATCTTGATGTTAGACGAGCAATACGCGCAAGGTATTGATAGATATATATGTATGTATGTATATAAGTATTCCGTTAATACAACTACTATATATAAGGATCCATTTGTGATAAGTGGTCCGGTTTCGACAAACGATCTGGCTATTCAAGAACATAAAGTCTGTACATCAGCTGTGTTCATGGAAATAGTAGTGCCTCACCTCAAAACTTTTGAATCAATTTTGAAGCATACACTTTTACACTTTTAAAATTGAGTATATAATTCAGAATATAGAATGGATTGGGTTCGTTTGCAGGCGGCATAGTTTTCTACTCAAAAATAGGTAGTCCGCCTAAAGATAGCAGTTGGGGGAATTTTTTGAGTGTTCATTCGGTGTTCCACCAACAGAGCACAGTCGACCCAAGTAGCTTACAATAAATGAATACAAATCGATCCAATACAAGGATTCGATGGGTATGATTTTGTATGATATACGCTGGTTAAAGCGACTTGATTGATAATTTTAAGGGAAATAATTGGTATCGAGGCGTAAAAGCTCATATCTCAAATAGAAAGCGGACTGCAGGGCAAACAGTAGGGGGCTACCATACACTACTGGCCAAAAAAATAAGTACATTGGTGTCGTGCTAGTTTGTTATGGAATAGCTCGAATGTTTATAAATGTATGGATGCTAAATATTTAAATCAAAAATTAAAGTGGGGAACCATCTTAATAAAATTCTATGCATAAATTTTTGCTGAATGGGCATTTTTGGTCTAGCCAAAATAATAAGTACACTGGTGTTATTTATAAATTTTAAAGGATTAGATAAGGTATAAGATAAGATAAGATAAGGATTTGGTCAAAGGATGGTTGGTTTTTATTGAGTTCCTTCATATTTAAGTACATGATAGTTAAAAAAATTCTTTAGATAGGCCGTACTGCTGAAGAAAATAAGTTTTCTTCAAATTCTCCGGGAAATTGCGAAAAGTCTTGGACGCTCGGTAGTTTTTGTTCAGAATGCTTTAATATCTAAAGTACTTATTGAAAATCGAGGATGGAAGAAGAAATCTTTACAAACAACGGACATCCGCATCATCATATCCGCTCAAATTGGCAAAGAAACATCAGGTCTGATGGTTCGTCGGACACTGCAATATATAGACCTATCAGGACGTAATGTCCGAAAAGTTCCCTTACTCCGAGTAAAACCTTTGAAGATGAGGCAAAAAGTCGTTGAAAATCATTTGGCATGGTCAGGGTCAGATGAGTCTTTAGAAAGGAATAATATATTATTGAGAGACGAAACAAAAATAAATCTTTTTAATAATGACTCCAGAAGATGTATACAACGACCCAAAGGCAAAGCATTCGACTTCCGGTACAACGGGTCCAGATTCATCCATTTTACTATCACTCGAGATGGGGATTTTCCTGTTGAAAAAAAAACCTTTTGACCTAGATCACAAATTTTTTTTTTATACTAAAGAATATAATCCAGATTTGGGTATCTCGCGTTAATTGCTCATCAAACATTGAGCTAAAAGTATGTATTGTATGTATTTGTATTGATATGCTCCAGAAATCAATCGAATTTTCTAGATTCCCAAAACAAGTCGCTTGTTGCGGTAGGTCAGATACTCGAACCTCGCAGATACTTTGGCCACAGGAAAAGTCGAGAAATTTCGTCGACCCTTTTTCACGAGTACAAGCTGTTTGCGCTCTCTCTGCGGCCTCTGACAGCTGCCAAGACTCGTTGTCTCGCTCTGACGCACGCGATTCAGGGTAACATTCAAGATATTTCTAGAAGAGAGCTCTCGAAGTTTCGAACGGAGAGCGGCCAGGTATAAATACAGCCGCCAGTTTCTCTTCGCAGCAATTCAATTCAAACAAGCGAAGAGAACACATCTCAAAAGTGAAACAAAGCGAGCTACCAGAAGCCAAAACAACTGCAAAAAGCAAAGTAAACCATTTATAAAAAACTCAAATTGAACAAAAGAAGAAACCATACGCATTGAGAAGAACAAACTACCTGCGACAGTAAAAGCAGCAATTAATACACGTTCCAGTGCATCTTAAACACAGCCAGAAACCATAAACAGAAACAGAATGCCGGCTATTGGCATCGACTTGGGCACCACGTACTCCTGCGTGGGTGTCTACCAGCACGGAAAGGTGGAGATCATCGCCAACGACCAGGGAAACCGGACGACGCCCAGCTATGTGGGATTCACAGAGTCGGAGCGCCTGATTGGCGAC